AGACTGATATATTGGCATCATTTTTAATATTTCTTTAATTGTTCAACAGACTCACACTTTTCACAACTGAGATAGAAAGATGCTACATGCATAATAACTAGGGCTGTCAATCGATTACAATATTGGCACCCTGGAAACAATATGTATGTGCCATGAACCAAGCCTTTCACAAACAAATAAAGATGAAAGTAAAAATTGACAGAGTTATAAAGTGTTTTTTTAATTTTTTTTTACATTTTAACTACAATGTGTGAACAAAATCCTGATTTGACCCAGTTTAGCCCCAATTAAATGTTCCTCTGCTGGAAAGGCTGAGCTCTAAATCTCAGGTTGTTTAAGATTAGGCTTTCTCAAAATACAAAGATCTTGAAAACTTAGGGAATTAATACAGCAGCTTTGGAGTTTGATGAGTAACCAAAAAAAAAACTTGTGCACGTCCAAAAAGAATCTGCCATGTTCTTGTTAATGAGCCCCAGAGCGATAAGTATGGTACGACACTACCCACTTTCACATAACATGGTTAAAGCCAAAAGGACCAGTGTGTCCTACACAGTGAGTTGGTGTGAAATTGACTTTGTTATTAGTCCAACTGTGGGTAAATAAAAACTGGAATTAAGCAACATTTGAAAAAGTTCCCCCGAGGATATGGCTGTCAGACTTAAGCAGGCTTATGTTTGACACTTGGAATGGTGCCTCATTTGACACATTTCATAGAGAACATTTAGACCTTAACCTTGGTTTCATTGCTCAGCTTGCCTGAAGCCAGGATGAGTGAGCATGGGGAATTATTTAGAATGAATTACAAAGAAGGCAATTTGCACCACATGAGCTGACAAAGCCAAACCTTTTTGTTAATTCAACAGTGGTTCATGTTGATATACATTTTAACGATTAATCGTAAATTTGACATCATTTCAAATAGAAAGAAATATTTGGATTATCTTGTCGAAGAGAGGTTTAGATCTTGACCCCTTTGATGAATATAAATTAAGGCAAAAGTGCTCTTCATTAGCAACAACACAAACTGCATGAATAGTACAGATAGAGGGAAAAAAATATTAATCTTAAAATCCCAATTCTGAATCGATAAAAAAACTCCAATAAATTATTTTTAAAAAGGTTTTTATTTTCCTTCTGGCATTGATGACCCACACAGGCTTCCATATTGCACAGTACAGAAACCGGAGTTGGTTGCGGCAAGCCGTATGGCTACTCGCTAGTCAGTCGACACTAATGTTAGCTCTCGTGTCTAAAATGGTCAATTGAGCAGCAAGATTCAGCCCGTCCCATCTTCACTGAAGGGAAATGTTTGGGCACACTTTGGATATTCTACAATATCCCAGGAAGGATGGAGCTTGATGTGACTCATTCAATATGCAAGGTTTGCAAAGTGAAAGTCAAGCGCTTCAGGATCACTGCAAATACCTGGACTCACATCATACACCATTATCCAGAGTTGAAAGAAGTGGAGGAAGTTCATCGGCCCACAGCAGCTGTACACCACTTTACCAAACGCCCAGTCAATTCTGAAGAGGAAAAAACAAATAGATTGATTGCCTGTTTCATTTCAGAGGACCTGCACTCCAACAGCGTAGTCAAGAAGGAATACTTAAGATTTATGATCTGGAAAATTGAACCGAAGTATATCATACCATCGTTTGTTTTTTTTTTTAAACTGCTAAAGCCCTGACTCAGATTTACCAAGACGGAAATCGGTGAAGCAAAAATAGACCACAGCCGCAATGCTCTCCATTTGGACACCACATGCGTACGAGTTGCAGCAGTTCTGCAACAAAACGGAATGACAGCAGCCTTTGCATAACCTTAGAGAGTATAAACTGTGTGGCAGTGACGTAGTTCATCAGCTGTTGCAGCTCACTTGTCCTCATGTGTGCTAAAGCAAAACCAAAAAAGGTTACTACTATACGGTGGGGAAGCACTAATGTTTAAATATATATTCCTCATGATATTGTAGTTTATTTGTGTAAAAACTGTTTGTGGAAGTTAAGCATGAGTACACCTTACCTTATGGGTTTTGCCCTTGTGTGTTTACATGTTTGCAATGGTTTAACATTTTCAAATATAAAATCTCCACAATCTTATACACACTTTTCTCTGTTTTCATGCCATCATTTGCCACACCGTCTTTCTTAGTGCACAGCTGAGTGGACCCTGAAATTACTATCCCCATGTACTGAATCAATTTTGAATCGAATCTTAATTCGAATCTATAAATTCTACATGTAGATGGTGAGGATGATTCAGACCATCAATCGTATGCATTACTGGGCTTTTCCTCTAAAAATGTAAACAAAACCTGTTAATCTCATTCTTATGCATACTGTAACACAAATAACCCTCAGAGAGCACAGAATGAAAGCATTGCTCCATGTTTTTATCAGTAGATGTGCCAGTTGGACATCATCCTTCTGCCTCTAGACACCGTGGATGTGGGAGAGCAAAGAAAACAAGTTGGGGAGTAGCAGACAGTTAGACAGTGAGAAGAAAAAAAATAATGTGGGACAGAAGGATGAAGGATTTGTGTCTGAAACAGAGTACAAATCTACGAGATGAACCTTAACACTGTTGCTCCCCCTTTCCAACCTTGAAGTATCACACTGCACAGATGCTGTCCTGATTCTTAAAAAGTCCCTTTTAATGATTTATCCACTTCTCCCCTGACAGAGTAAATGTACTGTCCCTTTGTGCCCCCTGTGTCTGATGAATCCGTAAGTGGTCTTGAAATTAATTCGATCACCACAGCTTTCATCCCCCCCCCCACCCTGCTCCTCTCTCCTCTTTCTCTTCACTCTTTGGAGGGTTAAATGGTGTGAGAGACTGCTGGTCGGGGCAGTAAAGCATGCTGATAATTTGGAGGCAGAAACTGAGGGCGTGAATAAAAGGTGGGGGGAGGCGATTGCTCTGCGTTTCTGTGATGCAGCAGTTTGACAAAGCAGCTCAGAAATGGGACTCAACCGCCGACCTGAACAAATCCAAGAGAAATAAACCCTGCACCTCCCGCTGAGAGACGACAAAGCAGCCACCATAAAGCAGTCATATCTAGGAAATCAATTCGCCCATTGGAAAATATGTCAAGCAATCCTTTTTGTATGCAATCTAAGCACTTCCTTAGCACACCAGTTGGCGTGATGACGTTTTGCAGCCTCATTTAGCCACTTATCAGCAACTGCCTTCTTAAGTCATGTCAAAAGCTTAAAAAATTCACACAAGGGGTTTGTCATTTATATTGTTTAACAAAACGTTAAAATCTCTTAAACTTGTGTTAACCACAGACCTTATTTCAGGCATCTAACCAAAAGCCCATTCAAAAAACCCACTGACTTTGAATCAAGGGAACCATAAGTGCAAAAATGCTATTCCATTTCTGGGTTTAAACCAAGGATTATGGAATCATTCCCGAAGCACTCTATGTAAAGCACTGAGAAAATTAACAAACCCAATGTTCATCTACCCAGGAGGTGTTTTTTTTCCTCTTTTAATGTGGTGTGATGTGTATAAGTGCCATCGCAGCGCTCATCGGTACGCGGTGATGAAGACTGTAGAGTGAAGCAGCCCTCTTGACATGTGAGAAGCTCCTCTGCACATCCACGGTGCGTTCTCAGTCCTCTCCAATGGCGGGTTGTCTCTTCCTCCCACAAATCATCAGGTGCAAAAAAAACAAACAAACAAAACCAGCATAAGCAGTGAAAAAATATTCAATTTAAATTTAAACATTACCAGATTTGGTACAAATATCAATCAAAGTACAAAGTACATTCAATCCTTTTAGCTGCTGCATATATAGGACCCTGGCACCATCACTGCCCCCCTGCTGGACTGAAATAGCTATTTCAAATGGGGGGGAAAAGGATACGAACACACCCTTATTATAGAGCATTTAGGGGTTTACGATAAAATACATTTCAACTCATGCATAATGCATAATGGATTATGACATCATTTTAAGTACAGTGTATCTGTAGATATAATCTGATATTTCAGAGATATTAACAGCACTTCCTTTTTGGGTAGTCGTCAAACTTTGGAAAAAAAAATCAGGAATACGATATTTCCCATGGTATCTCTATATGTTGTGTTAAGAAAAAAAAAATACTATTTATAAAATCAGACACACAAACAAACCCTTAAGCAATAAGGTATAAAAAAACACCCTGGTCAAGAGTAACATATTAGCAGGGAAGTCATCTTTTTTGCAAATGATGCAATTATGACACCTTTTGGAAATGTATTTTCTTCTATTCAATGAGGCTTTATTGGCATGAGTTTCAAGAACAATGTTGCCAAAGCATCAAAATATAAAAGTAAACAATGACAGTAATATGATTAGTAAAACACAATTGGTGCTTTTCTGTGCAATGTAAAACATAATTCTGCATGTAGAGCCTCTGTTGGATGTTGGTCACAACGGGTGTTAGCTACGATGACTGTGTTGTAGTTTGGAGTGGAGGAGCAGGAGAAGGACCAAAATGTAGATTCAAAAGCAGGCTGACTGGTGCAGTTAAATGATTTGATAAACAAACCTTTAATGTTTACACATTGAGAGTCCAAGATTCAGGCAGGTAAACAAAACTCTATGCATAACAGAAGACAACAAAGAGAACTGGAACTGTACTGTTATATGTAATGACTGACTGATTGGAGAAGTGAGAACAGGTGAGCAGGTCTGGTGAGTGCAGGGCTAACGAGGAACAGGTGAAACTAATCGGGGCGAGGCAAACATCCCAAACAGTCGCAAAACAGACAAAGGAAGTGATGTGGTGAAATATAAATGAAGATATCCTTTAAATTGCACACTGTACAAAAAAAGGGGAAATTAAGCTCTGCTCTGTGAACTCCTGACACTAAAATACAATAAATCTTTTTGTTCTTTGCTGTTGGGAGTGTACCAAAAAGGGATGTAACAAATGTAGTGAAATCAGGCTCAGAGCCAGTTTAACAATTGATAGCTGTGTGTCACACACACAGAGTGATTACCCTCTCAAACTACTGCAGTAGAGTGTCGGGCAGAGCATATGGAGACTAACAGCAGAGAAACACTGCAGGCAGACTTTGATGCATTTGATATTTCTGAGAAGCTTGGATTTCTCCTTGAAGAGCCACTGGTACATTTCATTGTCATCTTTTCTTTTCTTATACAAAAGACATTTCCTGTCTGTTTAGTATTTTATGTGTCAAAACAGATCTGCAACTTGGTTTTAATATGTCATGACAATAATGATACTGTATATACTGGACACAAAGAGACAGTTTTGTTGAGACAACATTGCTGATTATTATATTTTACCTTTTGCCTTTGTGTAAGTAATTTGGTCAGCAGAACACATAGCACCTCTGGGCTGGAACTGATAATAATACTTGTTTTTGAGTAGGATTATGGAAGATTTTATATCCAGTGAAATCCCGTCTCAGCAAGTTTCTATAGAGCCATTCACATGAATGGGCCTGCTCACTGTCACACAGTTTACGACACTTAAAGCAACAATGAGAGACTTTTATTTTGTGTTAATTTTGGCGGCACCTGTGGACAAACGCGGTAGCATTTCAGATCAAAAAGTCTGCCCTGCTCAGTCCTGATTCTGGATCTCGCGTCACTCCCTTCCCTCCAGCGGGCTCAGCAAAAAGGCCTGGGCCTCCAGCAGCCTGGTGTCGGTGTTGGCTCGCAGCGGGGACCGGCATGCACTGAAGGCAAAGCTCTGCTTCTGGCAGCCAGAAGAGTTGTTGCGTCTGAGTCCTTCCGCAGAGGGTTGGTTTCTCCAGAGTTGGACGTTATGTCACCGATCACAAGCATTAAGAAAATCTAAATAGAAATAGCCACTCTTCTGGCTGATGGTCTTGTTTTCTTATGTCATATACCGTATATCATATATTAGTATTCACTTGAGACTGTTTCATAACCATTTGAGAGTCTGAAATGCCAAATTGTTACACAAACTCTTTTATGTCTATGGAGACATTTCGTAAAAATGAAATAGTACATAAGAAAAAATAAAAAAAAATCCGTCGACAAACTACTAGAATAGATAGATTTGTAAACGCTGTTAAACCTATTTATCAGCATTGACATAAAATGAAGAATTAAACATTGGCATTAAGCACAGCCTTCTCGTCTGTTTCTACAGTGATTTTCCATCTGGGCATCCCTTGTTTTCTGCTTGGTGAATTTCCTCAGTTTTCTACTGCCTCCCTCTTTTAAATTGCTTTCTGTCTCTGATTGATAGCACCAGTCATTCCCTGACATGCAGGTCAGGCACCAGAGCAAACATGAGCTGATGATGTTACTGATTACACTCCACATGAAAATCCCCCATGCAAAAAAACAATCAAAAAAAATCAACATTCTTTTTTGTTATTATTGTCTAGACTGACCTTCCAGACTATTATCGGGAGTGGTTAGACCTGGCAAACCATCTCACACATCTGATAGAGGCACGGAAACTACGGGATCTGATTCACAAGGTGAGAATAAGCAATGCCTTCTCCATGCATGTAAATCTGGACTTAAAGTGTCATTTGTGAACCCTTGATGGTGTTTACTGTTCTTGAGAATGGAAATTTTAAAATCGAAAGTCTGATCACAATCCAGATGCCGGTGTTGAGTCCCCATCTCTTGAGTGACCATCGGGAGCTCAGGCTGGCTCACCTAGCGCTGGGGTTCATCAGCATGGGATATGTATGGCAGGAAGGACAAGATGCACCTGCTCAGGTAAAACACTACAGTGCAATGGGATGAGGGATGGTAAAAAAAAAAAAAAAAAAGGAGGTGCATTTCAGTCGGTGGTGTTCTGGCAATGCAACAATGCAATACTTTGAGCTAAATGCTATCATCACCGTGCTTACAAGCTGATGAGAAGAAGGTAGAATGTTTACTGTGTTCACCGTGTTAGTTTAGCTTGTTAGCATGCTAACATTTGTTAGCAGTGAACACAAAGTGCAGCTGGTGGGGAAGTCATGTGAATCATCATCTGGGATACATCATTTTCTACCAATCTGCTGAGATATTTCACAATATGAGTGAAAGCTTTGACCAAAAAGTGGCATGAGAGGAAAAGTTAGGACAATCATCAAAGTCAGCAGGATCCATCCTCTGGGCACCAACATATCTTGGCAATCCATCTAATAGTTGAGATATTTAAGTCTAGATCAAAGTGTTGGACTGACCAACATCCTCAGCCTTCATACCGAAAATCTCAGAGATGCGTCACTGCTTGATGTCTTATATGTTTGTTTTGAAAGATTCTGCCCAAAGCCCTGGCCTTGCCCTATTGGCTGGTATCTTGTAGGCTTGGCCTTCCACCCATCCTGACTTACGCGGATTCAGTTTTAGCCAACTGGAAATTAAGGGATCCCACAGGGTGAGTAATGCTGTTTCATTGCCTCATTAACGACTTGATTTCATACCCATTGTCCACTAACACTCTTTTAGAATTACAATAAAAGTGTTTATGTCTAATTTTCAGTCACTCACCCAGAAAAATTGCCAGTTATTTATTTCTCCACTAAGGTTCATTTTTCATTTCAGGAATATGGAAATCGGGTAAGTAAAAGGAAAAGAAAAGTCATTAACTCCCACATTGTCTTTAATATTGCAACTGCATTTCTACATGATTTCTTTAGTCTGGTACTCGTGAAGTTCAGCATGAATATTTTTAAAACATCATTCTCATAAATAGGAACATGGACGTGATATTTTCCTTACCTGGTGGGGAGAGTTGCAGGGGATTTTTCATGGTGTCATTGTTGGTTGAGCTGGCTGCCAGTTCAGGCATAATAGTTAGTACTGGCTGCTCTTGCTATTCCTCTTTTTCATGTCAACTCTTTCTGAACTTCAGCCTCCTGCTGTCTGTCCATCTGGCCCCTTCTTTTTTTCTGTCCCATCCTCATGCTATGTGTGTCTTTGTCCCTTGCCACACAGTGATGGATCTTTTTCAACTCTAACCCAGGGGGCTCTGGAGGTGATGCATGCTATGAAAATCTCAGACCTCATCGCCATACAGAAAGGTCTCGTAAAAGTGACTCAGTCTTTAAAGAAGATGAAGGAAACTTTCAAACTCATGCACAGTAAGTTTAAATTAAACCTAGCCCAATCTGAATTCAATCAATTTACAAGGTCATTAAAATAACTGAAGTTGTGGTCTTTCCAGACCATGTGGATCTAACTGCATTTCATGGAACATTGAGGATTTTTTTCTCAGGGTGAGTTTTAGGGCTGTCACAATTATCCTACATACTCAAGTTATTAATGTTTTTAATTATCTAATCTGGTGCAGATGAGACGATGCAATTCCCTTCTGCTTCCTTATACCTTCCTATTGTACTTTTCTCTGTTAGTGCACTCTACATATAAAATGGTACTGTGTCCTTATAATTGCATCTATAAAAAGGAGGTTTATAGTATGTATGCATTTCAACTGTTTTAGATGGCAAGACAACCCCAAGCTTCCAAGGGGGCTGTTGTATGAAAGTGTGAGCAATGAGCCAATTTCGTTGTCAGGCGCAAGTGCAGCCCGGAGTTCAGCCATTCAGTGCTTTGATGCCTTGCTGTGCATCCAGCATGAGGATGAGGCAGGTAATGATGCATTTCCCTCAACCTTTGACCCCGTCCGATGCTTCTCATGAATGAATCACTCTGTTTGTGCAGTCAGTTGATTGCTCTGACAGAAAAGAGAAGGTTGTTATTTTCTTTCTTTCAAATTCTGTTTTCTGTTCTCTTCAATGATTCGGCTTTCTAGGTGCCTTCCTGACAAGCATGAGGGATTACATGCCTCCCGCCCACCGTCAGCAAATAGAAGCTCTGTCTGTCTGTCCATCTCTGCGAGACTTCATCCTGTCCAACTCCAGCTCTGATCTCTGCCAGGCCTACAACTCCTGTGTCTCAGCGCTAGTGGATTTACGGAAGTACCACCTCAATACCGTGACCAAGTACATCATCGTGGCTGGTAATCGCGCCTGCGCCATGGGCTGCCCGCTGAGAGGCGTGGGCACTGAGCTGAACGCCACAGGGACCAGCGGATCCAGCTTCATGGTCTTCCTAAAGAGTGTTCGTAACACCACTCAAAAAGCACTGATCTTCAAGGGGCCGGCTGTAATTTAAATATTATACCATGCACTATAGCCGACAATTCTTTATGCACTACGCTCTTGAGGTTGAATTTATATATGGTTTTCAAAAAAACAAGTATCAGCAAATATCACCTCCATTATTCTAATGAGACAATTGTATCTGTCATTATGACAATTCAAGTCTTAGTAAATTTAGTCAGCTGTGCAACTCACTGAATTACAGTGCTTGGTAAATGTTTAGGGTGCTCTGTGGTAACCATGACATATTAGATAAATCCAAAGAGAGGTGCAGTTTGATACCGGATGAAAATGTTATTTCTGCTGACCTCCAGTAGTTTTAACTTCTCGTTTTGCTACAGTGACATGAATTGTACTCACGGGTGTGGTCAGTGCACTGTGACATCACTGTTGGGTGTGGTCAGACAGACTCAAACGTTTGAACCAGAGGGGGCAGTGAAACACTGCTTCTGAGATTGGGATTACATTAGTGGAATTCATTTTCTTAATGTTCTTGATAATAACTACTATAAATTACTAAAAAGTCATTTTTTACATACTATCTCAAACAAAATGTTGAATCTTTTACGTATTGTTTTTCTTTTTTTGAACTGCACTTTACTCTATCATTATACTTAATATAAACATGATATGATTGTAAAAACTTTTAAAGACCATGCTACAGAGAAGGACTTTGTTTAGTGTTGCATTTTATCTTTTCTGGTTTTATTTGTATCAATTAATTAATATATAATTTAAAAGACCTCAAATCTGTACACCCTTGATTGTTAACATTATGTTTGGGATAAAATGTTTAAATGTTGGTGTTTTAAAATAGTGTAATTAAAATGTACAGTATATACAAATTCTTATCAGTTACTATAACAATGCCTGATTATCTTGTTTTGACCCATTTAAAAATATTTATAATATTGAAATGCACACAATGATACCAATAATGCCAAACATTTTTCTTTTTTTGATTGCTAAACTAATTTGGCTTTTGTAAATACAAACTGAAAATGGGAACTCCTGCGTAAGAGGCAGATGACCGATAAAGGAGACAAATGTAGAGAGAACCATAAGCTGTGAAAATAGGAAACAGAAATAGAGGAAGTACACGCTGCAGGAATCGAATGCTAGAGGACACTGGTAAAATAAAAGCAAAAAGAGAATCAGCTGAGGAGAATGAAAGAGACAGATGGTGGGAGAAGGATGGATCAGTTCACTTAGTTTGAATGACTGGAACCCCCACTCGCCTGAGCCTCCAGGTCTTGACTTGAAGTGTCTCTTCTTGGTATTGAGCAGTAATCACATTAGAAGAGAGAAGAAGGAGCTGAACCACACTGCCGCTGCTGAGACCTGGTCATGGTCAATCCTTGCTTCACTAAAGCACAAAAGATGTAAAAGGAGGACCGTCTGACACCGGGTGAATGCAGCTCCGCCTGTAACTACACCTAGTACTGTAGCATGCTGGAGAGTAGACAAGTTGAAGGGGACGCTGCCTCTGGAACCCTTTTTCTTTATTCTGTATTCCCATTTCCATTTGAACTTTCAATGATATCGTCAGTGTTACTTAACATAGAAATTCTCTGTTTTCTAAATAGCGCACGTGAAATGTTTTTTAAGTTGAGATCATTGGAGGTTTCTTACCGAAATGAAGCTTGGGAGTCTTCGTTAACTTCTCCCACAAAATGTTTACACAAGCTTGTAGCTTTAACTTATCTAAGAAACAGATATTTTCCAACATGCCTGTTAATCTTTTGTACTGATGAGTCAACTGGGAAAGTTTTCATGCCAATCGAAGCTGTAGGAGGACTCCAACTGTGAGTCACGTATCATTGACTATGGGAAAGATGAATGGAACTTTTTCTTCGTCGCACTTCGCAACTCTAATGCCTCTAGCTTTCAACAGACATAGGAGTGCATCAGATCCCTTTTTAGTTGAAAATGTTTTATTTGTGATGTAGAAACAGTAGAAAAATGCATAATATTGCACATAATCACTAAATTGCACTTTCTCAAGGTACAGATCTTTGCATGGAAATTGGTGACCTGAATAATGTTATCTACTGCCTAGTCTAATGATGGGAGGCCAGTATGAGTCTTCCTGACATTTCTCAGACATACAGTACCATAATCTACATACGAGCTGCTGTTATAAAATTACTTAAAGTAAATACCTGCTTTGTAACAGCGTGCAAGTTCAGTATCATTGCTACATCATCGGTGTGTTTTTTTTTTAACTTAACCAAAGCTGGCTACACTTCTCTACAAGTCTCTGCTGTAAGATTGCTACCGTACTCCATCAGCACTGTATATAGCCCTTCTATTGTTTATGTGGGTGGATAAGCAGATGTTTGGTGTTCTGTAATTCTGCAAAATAAAAAAAATGTTTTTACAAGATGGAACTCGCAGTTGAATGGCAAGATAAATCAATATTAAAAAAACGACACTTCAAATGTTAGCTAACCTAGCATGAAATAAATGACTTAGAAGTAGATTAGGTTCAAGACTTCACATCAGAGCTTTGCTGTGACACAATCTGTGACTCTGAGGCAAGGCAAACTCTTAAAGAACTCAAAAGAGAAATGTCAAAATAGCCTTTACTTTTTGTTTGAAATTCAAAACTAAATAAAACCCTTTATAAGTTATCATAGAAAATATTCTGCCTTAGAAGTATATACATATACAGTGTGTTGTTAAAAAGAATTCGACCTAACCTAGAACACTTCTGCACTTTCAACAATTGTACCTGCTTCAACAGAAGGGGCCCCAAACATATATATTTTTATAAATTTCATTTCACAGTACTTTGCTTAAAAGATTCAGATATTCTGAAATATAAATTCTGAATATTACGTGACAGTGTAGCCAACAGAAAGGACAGGATGACTGAGGCAAAGTTGGCTGGCTAGTTGGTTGGTTGCACAGTGAGCTAAATGGAGAGTTAGAAAGAAAGACAGAGAGAGATAAAGGGAGGGAGGACACAGGAGTTATAAACCAAGGCAGGCAGACGTTCAGTCGGACGGACAAACTGAGCAGGATGCTAACAGATAATGAGGAAGAAGAGAGAATAGACGGGTCATAAGAATAGCGCTGACACACTGCCATGTATTGTACGGTGTTTCAGTCTTTCACGCATGTTCCTGTCAATAGTCAAATGTTTGTGCTTTGCCGGAGGTGGGGCTGATGTCCATTCAAAGATAATAGCTTCACTCGTAAAAGGCCCTCCACATGGCGCCTCTTCTTGTTGCCAAGCAATATGCTCTAAGGGGAAGAAGACCAAAAGTGCATTGCATTGGAGAAGGCAATAAAAAGTCATACATATAAACTCTGAGTTGCATTTAACTAGTAGATACAAACACATTCATCTTTACGCAGCTAAGAGACATATATGTATCCCAAAGCTCACCTAGTTTTTGTAGGTGTGTGTCCATCCTCTTCAGCGAACATGCCAGAAAAAGGTTTGACAGAATCTAAAATGTTTTTTGTCTCAGCTGTCCCCCAGCTGACTCAATGTGTAGTCTCAACTCAGCACCCCCAAATGAACTGGTTTCTGCTGTTATCCATCCTCATGTGATGATTGCTCCCTCTGAAAATTCTCTCGTCCATTTCGAGAATAATGGGGGTATTCATTTGCCCAGGAAAAAGGCTGTTTGTGAAGCCTTCATGTTTCAGTCAAAGGAACCAGAGTTTCCAACGAGCATGCTTTTTGGACTCTGTCTTGGATTTGCGTTTCGGGGTGGATGTGAATACCTCATTGGAGTAAGGGAGAGCGGGACATTGTTGGCTGTCCAGGGGACAAAGCCTCTTCATCAGGAGATGTAGCTTGTCCTCCTGCAGTTTGAAGTCCAGCTCGACACTGTAACACAAGCACGAGAGGCAGAGTTTTACATAATTTACCTTTTTCAGTTCAGTATTTTACCTTAAAAACAAAGATTTGACAGTAGATTCATTGACTTAAAATCAAAGTGCGTTCATCTGTAGGTGTTTAAAGTTAGCGATTTATCTTTTTGAAAGCTGGGGCATTTCTGACTCAGTTTTTGACTTCTTTTTTTATATTAGTAATACGCTGATGTCCAGATGGAGGCTGGGAGGGAGGCAAACCATTCAAATGCACTGGCAGACACCCTGGCAGCACATATCTCTAGCAGCACATATCCACATTTCAGAGACTCCTCCGAGTAATAGAGTTCCTTTGCGTCATGTCTGTATTTTTTATGAATGCAGTCAAAGGGCTTTTCCTGCATAGATTATATTTGTATAAAAAAGAGCCAGAATGTGGGTTGTTCCTGACATCAGACCTACATACCCGCCAGCATAATCCCAGGCTGGTCATCGTCTGATTTTGTTCCCGGCACCGTAGTTGAACTCTCTCTCCGATTAAATCTCTCAGGCCAGAGAATAAATGTAGGGCTTAATCCCTTCCAAATGAAACCAGTGAGAGGCCAAGCATATCCTGATTAACTGCCTGTATTCAAGCAAGGGATACATGCATTATTATACACCATCTCCTTTCACTTTATTGCTATTGATTTGTAGTGATCTGTTAATGTATTTATTCCTGGGGTATGCAATAAATAGTGGTAGCATCTGAGTGGAAATAGAAGAGAATGAATCATCTGCTATGCGCCTGCCAAAGTGACACTCCTCAACAAACTGTTCCTGATGATAAAATGTTCTGTTGCTTTTTGGTTTTGGGGCATTTTTTGGATTCATCCTCATTTCATTTACTTTGATCATTGCCAACGTTACTCAACACACTGCATTTTTAAAGCACTGTGAATACTACGATTTACAAAGCTTATTTCTGTCACTCAAACTCTGGAGGGATTAAAGGTGGAGGGGAGTGAAGCTGCTGAAAGAGATGACATCTGACATGTCAAGGTCAAACATGAAGTCCTCTCCTTGTCTGCCGGCACACAAATAGACGTTAAGGCACAAAGCTCGGCCTGATAGGGTAACGGCTTTGATGGGCAGTGTAATTAGTTCGGATATGCTATACTCAAAGTGACAATGAATCCTGGGAACTGTCCTCACCCTTAAGATAAGTGTCGGTTAAGAACAGAGCTCTATTAAAGCCTTCAGGGGAGAATCCGCGTGGAGGGCTGGATAGTAGTTTGGCAGGCTTGGACTTACAATGAATCAATACACTTGATTATATGAAAAGCAAGTCAGAAATGTGCAAGAGCCTGTGGCTGCTTGAAACTCCTCATTATTGATATAAAAAGGTATTTTCAAGCATGTTTCGCTGAATCAAAACAAAACCTCTTTTTACTCAGTGCTTTGCTCGTTTTTCATTTTCCTACGTGCCTTTTCCTTGTTTCCACTTCAAATAAAAGCTCACTCACACCTGCAGGTAAACACTGATGACAGTGAGAAACTCAGTTTTTAGATTAGACTAAAGCCTTTATTTTTGACAGAACTGCTGTTTCTTGCAGTATGTGATGCACACATCTCTTATTTGTATCATCAATTGTTTCATTTGCTCCAGCTTTTATCTCTATATGCATCTTTTGTTTTGTGTTAAAAAAAACTGCCAGTTTACAACTGCTGTTTAAAGAATGTTGACTTGACAGAAAGCAGAGCAGAATCACAGCAGCACAGTGCAACACAGAATAGCCTCAGCAATTATTAGGCAATTAATCAGTTGGCAGATCACTGCAATTACTGTACGCTGTGGACAAATGCCACGGTGGGAAGCCAAGGGCAGCACTGTACGACGCGGGTGACACTGGGGAGCAGGTGCTTCAGCAAACAAAAGCGCTATATCTAAGATCATCTCTGTGCAAAAACAGATTGAAGCAGCTGGAGACTGGGGCATTCAGCAAAGCAGATTAATCATCTCTTTAGCTATGCAGTGTGAGTAGCTGTTGCTGTGATCAGTGGCGAGCCGTTTGTTTGTCTGTGGTCGTGGTGTGCTGAGCACCATTCAATGATTGTTGCTCCTGGGAGGGATTCATGCTGCTGTGAGATGTCTTTTTAGCACGGCATACTCTATTCATTCAGCAGTGTATACCTGCTCGCCACTTTTCTCTGTTCTTTCCGCTGCCGGCACCAAAAGTAATTTCCCCTCCGGTGATTTCCCCTTTGGCCATTCAAAGTTGAAACTCTCCACTTGACAAGATGAGTGGTTCAGGCCCAGTATAGTGTAACATCTTCAGAACTATGACAGGGCATAGTAGAATGAATCGCTAGAGACTGACAGTTATTTCCCCCACTGACAGGCAACAGTTGAAGCAGATACTTCCCGCAGGTTATCTTGATCAGATGCTGAATTCTTCCCCTGTCATGTATCTCAGATATAAAACGCCATTGTTGTTGTCTATTACACAGCCTTCTGCTTTACAGACACACAAAGTAAACCCCAAACTCATTAATGAGAACAAAACAGAGTAAGCAAGTAATCTTCACAATTGTACACCATAAAAAAAAAGACAGCTCCAGCATCTCAGCATGTGATACAAGTGCTAATTAGCTCTTGCGTCTCATCATATTGCTTTCCCTGAACTTAACTGTCTTTCAAAGTCATTGTTAGTTCCAAATTGGAAACAACTACATTGCATTCTTTGATTCAAATGCTGGTTTTTATTCAACACAGCATGATAGGAATAAAATCCTTTAATGCTTTGATCTGAGTACGTTTGTTAAACTGGGCTTCCCGCTGTATACTCCAGGTTGACTCAGTGGTAGGCCGCATATAATTTGCTTTGGATGCTCTTGTATATCTTGTTTGAACTACTTGTTTGAAATGTAGATAACAAGAGCAGAAGATTGATGTAGTCCGATCATACTATCTCTGTCTTTGAGTTGAATGTTGCAATGAAGCATTTTGAATTCGCTACCACTCTGATTTGTTCCCCTGACTGACCTCTTCTCCATGGCAAAGGCTGCAGAGTCTCATGCATATTGTATCGTATTTAGAGCTGTCCACCATGCCAAAATTAGGGCCGACGCACGATTTCTCAGTAACAAAGTAAAACCTGAAACAATCTGCATTGCTAGACACCACGAGAGATATAGATGAGAATTATTTTTCTTTTGTAATGTGGGTGAAGTTAAGGGATTCCTTCCCCCTGATGTAATGGACAGTGTCATTATAGTTAGTCCCCTAATTTACATTACATTCAGGCTCTCTAGCTCTTTCTCTTTCGTTTACTTGCCATATGTACGCCCTATTTGTTGCAGTGATGTATAAGATGCTGCAGTAAACCGGAGGGTGGGTAGGGACTGTCATGGCAGAGCTGAAGTCTGGATAAGACTTATAGATTGACTACCGGAGCTCAGCAACTACTCATGTCCTGAATTTATCGGCCATACTGGAGATGCTGGACTGCTCTGAAATGAAGTGCTACATCTCGGGGGCCACTAATCACGGTTACAGTTGCAACACGCAGTCGTCTAACCTTGAGGGGTAACTTTTCATCCAAACTTGCTTTTCTAGGCTTTAATTCGCATCACTGCCTCCTATTCAAGGTGTCACGCAGAGTGGTTTGACCATCAAGGTAATTACCGCTGCCCTATAAGTAGTTTAACTCTCTGTGTTAATAGACTATTATAATAACAGGGCTGCTGGTGATAAGGTGAGCTGGCTGTATGTGACAGTAAAAAGAACATCTGAAATCAAGAGCAGAGGTAAACAATAAGGTAATGCTTTTTGTGCAGCTGAAGAATACTAAACAGCAGAATTGAAGATATTTATGACAATTGCTCTGGCAGAAATAGATAGGACCGTGACAGTGCACTACCCTGCTTGCAAAGAGACTCTGCTCTATTCACTCACTTAAAAACCAACTGGGTGATCTGAAATAAACAACATTTAATGAAACAGAGCACAGATGAAATGATAATCTTCCACGTTATTAGAACTCCGCAGTGATTTTATTAGCATACCACATGCTTTGGTTTGCTGACAACAGACTGGGGGCTGTTCTTTTGCCATCAGAAATTGTTCATAGTTTGTTAATTAAGCCAAGCTGCTTCACCGACATACAGAGTTGGCAGAAGATAAGATCAGTGAGGTAGAAAAAGAGAAACTCAGCTATGGGCTTTGGGACTTTTCTTTGCTCCTCTACGCAGTGGGTTTATTGCTTCAGTCGTACAAATTATGTTGCTGTTAAAGCTATAATGTTTGCTTCTCAGTTAAATGAAACCCGAATGCACCCTGTTGCCACATTTATCTGCAGTAAGACGTTATTAAACAAGAGGTCCAGTCAAAATCACATGACAGATAATACCCTTTACCCATTACTACCATCCCACTTATTTGCAGTAATAAATATTCTTACACTCTGCTGAAACCCTCGGATTGAATAGCACACTTACTTACAATCATGGCTAAACACATGGAAACAAATCAAAGAAAAGGCCTGTGTAATCAATAGGGACACCGATTGACAGACACACTGCAGTATTCGGGCTGTAACACAGGAGCAGTACACATTTTGATCAAGCCTCACTCCGTTTGCTTTCAGAATCTAATCATCTACTCTATAATTATCATACCATTTGTCTGTGAGAAATGGGATTCTATTCACTAAATTTACTAACCTTGGCTTTCTTTACTACAACATCTTTATGTTGGATGTAGTAGGTGAACAGCTTCATTTTATTTAGGTGAACTCACACCATACCAGGTCATCAGGAGACACTGTCCTCCCCCCAAAACAAACCCCATAGCTCGTTTGTACAAGCAGCTTACTACGACCCATATTTACACTAATTGTTAGGCGGCAACCTTTAGTGGCAGTAGTGGTAATGATTGTTTCGAGACTTATGGACGTAGCATACGTTACGTAACATTCCTATTTTAACCCAAACCATGATCTTTTCCTTAACCTAACTAAGTATTTTATTGCCCACACCTATCCAAACTGCATCCGTTTCACAACGTTAACCACGTTTAGTTATGAAGATGTATGGATCTCCTGCCACCGCTAGGAAGCGTTCCCGTGAGTCACATTAGAGGGTAGGAACAAACCACAATGTGTCGTGTGGGTTGGAGGACTTGTTGCATCAGGAAGGTAACAGGCCTTAAAATTCCTCCTCCGCAGAATCAGATTCAGGTATGTTTGTTTTGCCTTTCCAGGGAGTGTGGAGTCAGTTTTCAGCTCTCGCTGAGTAGTGGTGATCATCCTTTTGCCTTCGGTTGGTGAATCTTATTCTCAGGATCATTCAGTAGAGGCTTAAATCTGTTTCCAGTTTTACTGATTACACAGCTGCTCCCCGTCTTGCAGTGGTAAGAGTAGCTGTTGCTCTGCAGTACTCTGTCTCCGCTATCCTGCTGTGGTTTTGGAGAGATATTGATGAAGGAAACCCTTTTGTTTCTTATTTTGCTTCAACTCAGACCAACATCAGACCAAAGCTCTTGTTTTGATGCACCAACAATAGACCTTTTAGTTTAGTCGTGCTCCTTAGGCGAGCCAGCGGCTCATGTCTGAGTCATTTGTGGTGTTCATATCCAGTAGGTATTGATTAGTGTGCGGCCCAGATCAGGGAATATATGTCATCTAAGTCTCCAATGTGAGGTGTATTGGGATGTCAATGGGATCATGCAAGACTATTTTAATTTGAAATCTCTCTAACTTTTTCCCCCTGAAGCTCACTAGAATAATTGCTTGAAGTTTTAACGTGATAAACCACTACCTGTTCATGAGTTGCACGTTCATTATTTTATCATCGGCATAATCAAGGAGCTTTAAGGCCTAGGTTTAAAAAAAAAAAAACAACAACAAATTAGTCAGTGTTACGGGACCCAGAAATTAGAATATTTTTACTTAATCTGTCATCTGAGCATATAAATAAATAACGGTTTGACATGAATTAAATTGCCAAAAAAGGTCTTGCTAGAGCAAAGCATGATGGATGGCGGCCAAGGGGATATGACTCATTGTAAATGGCGGGTGTAACAGAGGAGGTTCCCCTGGGCAGTAACTTCCATCAAACCGGCAGCTTTGGAGTGTGAGAATTATTATTTTTTGGGGATTTTAGCTAATTTCAGCAACATGTTTAAACTCAAAATGCAGATTAAGGCATTATAATTTCAAATCAAAGTCCGTTTTTCTCCTTCTGTGGAGAAATGCAGACTATTGCTACATGAGTCTTATAACATGACTTGTCATGTGACACTTGATTAAGAACAAATCTGTGAGGCCCAATGCTTTCTTATCCCCCTGTGTCGAATACAAAACGAGTACCCTGCTTTCAAGTTCCAGTATTGTTTTCACACCACAATCTGGGTCAGCTTCACACAGTGCACTCGTCAAGGGAGAAGAGCGAGGAGGCATCTTGTAGAAAATATTACATAAATCAAAAATCCTGAAAAAACTTGTCCAGGACAGGGCAGTTTCCCTTTCTTTACATGAAAATATTCACAGTTAAGTACCATTATGACTTTAGAATATTCAAGATGTTTTAAATAACTGAAATTCTTTCAAGATCATTTAAAATGGCATCAGCTCTGATTGTATTGCTGTTAAAACCAACCTTTATTGTAATGCAGCACATTGCAAACTTTCATATTCAGTAGGGATACAAGGTTTACGAAAACAATCGAGAAGTCCCACTATACAAAGCATATTGCCTGGAGAGTATTTTCCAAACAGCTGTCTGCATCCTGCTTTAAAGAACAAGGTAACAAGCGGGTTCGGCAGTAGAGGCTTTCGGAGTGAAGTGACAAATGACACAAGGTTATAGCTTTAGCGTATTTCCCACCTGCTTCAGAGCCATTGTTCAGCAACACTTACATCACACAAAGCCGCTGTGTATTTTGACATAAATCCAGAGAGTTAATCCAACCTTTGTTTCTCAAAAGAACATTGAGTTTAATGGGATGTGATGAAATTCTAGATCCTCATACTTCGTGACAGGTTGAAATATATTTCCCATCTTATCTAATTCACTTCCTACGGCTGTATAATTATTTATTTATTACAGCCACACATTCTGCAGAATAATTATTTGTCATCATCCATTGTATTGTAGAAAAACACGCTGTAGTGCAACACAAAATATACTCTAAACAGTACCGCCAGCAGCTGCACATTTACTTCTTTGGGCTCTTCTTCCCATATCCCTGATGATTTTTTCATGATTCTGCACAGAAAAGCATCACTGCACCAAACACCTCTTGTAAGCATCCCCCTTTCACACTGAACCAAACTATCATACAGAAAAAAAAGCATTTAATGCAGCATTTATGAAACAGATATTAATGATTGTGAAAAAGGGCCCACCTGTAAATGATGCATGCGCTGTTTCGACAAGTGTCACAATTTGCTGTGTCTTGTCCTGTTCGGTAGGTGAGCCTGTGAACAGAGAGATAAAAATATACGTGTGATCTCCAGTGACAGGCTTGAGCTTCCATTTTTCAACACCTGTGGGCATCAGCTATCAGCCAAAATCTGTTCAGCTTGGTTTTCACCCAGTGCTGTTCATTCCTAACAGTTGAAAATGCAGCAGGGGGCTCTGATCCTGCAGTTCTCTCAGATTTGGTTAATCAAGTGTGCAGACCTGCTGATTTTACATAACAGGATTACCTCGCTTTGCCGCCACATAGTTATAAAATGTGTTCTGTGTCTCAATTCTATAGGCAATTCGAAGTAAGTAGCAACTAAATGCTGCATGAATCATGTGTAGTGAAAAATCAATACTTACTTTTTGCGCTATACTGTACATCTTTTTTATTTCTCATCCAACTCAATTTGCTACAGACATAATGAACATCAAGGATTCAAAAAAAGCAATCAGCAAGACAAATTGTATCTGCTCTGTTCATGGCATAGGAACACAGCCCAGAGGGCCTGTTGTCTTTACTGTACGAGAGTTGTAATTTGTTATGATGAAAGACCTCCGCAAAGGACCAACATAAGCCATCTCTGTGGCACGACGGAGATTTATGCGTACACATGTTAAAGACGACATATTAAATAAACAATGGCTTTGTTGGAACATTCTATGCATATTCCCTAACTTGAGATTACACAAGCATGCAGGTCCGCATATTATTTGTGCTACACGTCTCTGCATGCAATACGTCACAGCTGCAGTGGTCTGGGGATGAAGGAAGGGGCTGTGTTAGAGCTGCACATGTAATTATTCGCTGTCACGGCAGCCCATCACCCTGCTGGATGTCACGTGGAGGGGCCATGACACGAGAGGTGATCTCACTGGGGGAGACAGAACAGCGCGTGGATCGGAAACGCTGATGGGAGCTCAAGGTCAACAAGTTCATCCATCCTGCCCTGTTCCCAAATGAAGTCTCTCTGAGCAGCTGTGAGCAAGAACGGTAACTCACTGCACAGGCAAGATCCACACTAGTGCTGTGCTGCTGTCTGGCTTTTCTTGCACATCTTTGTAATTTAAAGAGCTCCGCTCTAATAATCAAAGCGTATTAACCTAAATTCATAATCACCGCGTGTACTCAGCACAAAAAAAAACACTTCCTTTTCCCATTCAGGGTAAAATGCTCATGAACCACTTAAGTGCCACTATATTAAAAAGCACAGAATGTCACAGAATATGATTTCATAGATGCATCATGGACAAAAAAACCTGCCCCTCCGACATTCGTTCACTAAGCCGACTGTTGGCACAGATTCACTGCTGTGTTGTCTGCCCACGTCAGCTGTCCTGGGATATGTCCTGCCCTCATGTCATTCCGCTTTTACTGTCAACATCCCCTTCATAAGTGCTTGCTGCTCTGCCTGTAGCACTGCATATCATTTTGTTTTTACTGATAACCTGTCATCAAAAATGACATTCAGATGTGGCGCGCTTTAAATATGGGGGTGAGTATGTCATCTTATGCTATGCACATGTTTTGTCTATAGTAAACAGACTGAGCAGACATTATTTTGTGAGTAACGTTTACTGTCTATATGATGCAGCAGCGTGACTAGCATGGGTAGCGGCATTCATATCTGAATATGATCATATGTCAGAAGTATTATGGCCCTTTTATCAATACGGTTTAACCGAGAGCTGGCATGCACATACTGTGAGAAAAAATATTCAACTATGCAGCGTTTAAAATGATAAATAGTCTGTGTGCAACTGTGTTATTGTTATCTTAAAACCACTTTGAGCAAAAAACCTTGTACACTATAGTGTATGTAATGTATACAAGCTGGTCAAGGTTTTAAGATAGATTCAGTTATGCTGTGGTTGAGAAAGAAAGAAGAAGGAACTGTGTTATCATCAGTGACTAACATCAAACTTATCAAGTGTCACTGACCCACTTCTGCTTAGGTTTGGAAATGTGAAACAGCTGTTTGTTGTTCCTTTTTGCAGGATGTCATTGATCCATTTCATGTGACTTCATCAGAGATGGGAAACAGATGACAAGCACATGCATTATTTTTGAGTTCCTGTTGTACTTTTGCAGGACATAATTTTCTTGTTTGTAACTGACTCCTGGGATGCCATCATACGAACAATGGGCCTCATGCAGGAACATAATCGTATGCTCAGCTTCACTTTCTCTTACTTTTTTTGTACGTTGGGCTCAAATGAGTTAGCCACGACGGATTCAGCAAACTTCAGATAAATGTGTAAATGACCATCGTAAACATGATGAATGCCACCTGTGCTTGAATGAGCGTGTGTGCATGACAATTGTAAATGAGCCCCAGTAGTAACATATAAGGCTATGAGTCCTGTCCCATTTGTCCAGAAGTGTTCATTAATGAAAATGGCACCAAAGAATGAGATACATAAAGGAAAATCAGCAGCAGCAGAAATAAGGGACCTGCTAAAGCCAAGAAATGGGAAAAGTAATGAGCTGTTAATGCCGTGTTACCTGAGGGTCATACTGTCACTGAAATAAAGTGGAAATAGTTCCATAATGAAAATCTCGCCACAGCAAGGCGATCAATGATTGCAATGGAAGGGGGTCAAGAAGAAGTCTCTATCTCTATGGAGATGGACAAAAGAATACATGCCATAATAGGTGATGTCAGGCATTACAATAGAGGATGAATAAACCTGCATGTGAAAAGGCTAGCTCTCTTCCAAGGCCACAACATGCTAAGAAATCCAAAGGAAGTAAGTTAGCCATGACACACATGGTGACACTCACTGACCTTATAATATACAGAGAAAGATTAACGCCAGACTAATTGCAAATGACTCATACGGCGGGTCTGGACCACTCCTAAATTGTTTTCGTACCTAAGAGAAAATTAAAAAAACTAGAAAATTGGCGGCAAGTTCTCCGAAATCACTCGTAGAAGCCACTTAAGAATGAATCTGTTTGTACGAGTGCTTCTTTCACGAGGCCCAATGTGTCTATTGCTTTACCATGGGTTACCTTCATCCTGTTGTCACTGCATGTATGTTAATGGCAGTGGCTTAAGATACACTTGACATCATCTATTTATTCCTGGTGAGAACATGAAGACTTTTAATTGGGTTCACCTTAAAGATGGTTTTCCGACTGTCCACCAATGCAAAAATGGGAAGGGGAACGTACTGTGGAGGGCACAACACAGTGTGGGCACTATAGCAGGCAAGGTTTTGTGGAGATGAAAGGCAAAGTGTTATGAGGCTGCACTAATTGGGCCTTTACAACCACGTTCCACTGAGCCACACTGGGGTGCCTTGTTCTCCCCTGGATATGGAAGACTTAAATACAATTTGCTTTGTGTTGCTATGGGTTTTAGAGATGGAGTATTTTGATTCTTTCAATAGCACTGCAGGAGTCTGGCTGTGGACATGGCTTGAGTACTTTATGAAGATTGTCAAGCCCGATGTTGGCTTACACATAAAATATTTTCATTTCCTACCACACAGTGAGATATACACTTTATTGTTCAAGCATTTGTATCTGATCAATACTCTGCATACTCAGGTATCGTTATCGGCCCAAAAACTGATCGGCGCATCCCTACTTTACAGGTACTTTACATGGTAAACAGAGGATGAAGTAGCAATATTTGATCCCCTGACCTTTTATCTAGTGCCATCATCTGGTCAACATTTCTTATTGTCCAATTCTTCAGTTATTAGCCAAAACCCGGCTAAAATGATGCCATTCCCAGCCAGTACTCGGCTGTACTTTTTTTTTTTGCTCAAGGATCCTGTCTGTAGTTTACAGCTAAGGTCGTATCTTTGTAGTTTAGGACAACATGGTAATTGCTCATTATAAAATTGCACTTTAGTTAATTGCTCAAATCTGGGAACACGGATCTGAAACAAAGAAATCTGAAGAGGAAAGAAACCCCAGCAGTCAGACAACCATACAGGTTTTAAACAATCCTCCTTATGCCTCAATTTATCTAGAAGAGAAATCACAGGCAAACTGTAAAGTCATTACTGAAAACTGCCCACTGTGAAGACCCATCACAGTTTAAAGACCAATTTCCTGGTTCAAATTTGATCATACTCGCCCCCCACAGAGTTTTTATATGAGATTAGGGATTAATACCATCATTTCTAGTTCTCTTTCCTTTGGGTTTAACTTCAAATAAAGCAGTTGAAATTATCTGGTTCAACTGTTTACAAATAGTCGACTGCTTACATTTGTTGCCATTGTCGTACTGATGTTGCTGTGTACCCAGATATTAGCAATTCATTTTGGGAAGTAATTGGTTATGATAGCTCATAGAAATGATGGCCAAAGTTACCACACTCAAGACTAAGATTCATGTTGTTATAGGAATTACGCTTTTTCGTGACAGCACACTGATATGTGCATGTATGTACAAATTAAATTGTATGTTTAGTTACATGTATAAAAGTCTGCACTGTAAAGCTTACTCTACTCACCCCTCTCTCTGGGCTTCACCTTTCTCTAGCTCCTGAATAACTCCGAGTAGGACTTTGATGGTCTCCTGGCTCGAGCTGATGAGGTTTTCCATGGCCTGCAGCTGTGCTTTGATATCCTTGTCTCCAGATAAGGGCATTATCTGCTGGCTGCTCCTCATGCCTGGGGCTCCTGTGTCTCTTGGAGGAAAGCCCTCATCCCCACCAACTGTTTGCTGGAGTTTAGAGGAGGCTGACGCATGCCTTATCCGACACTGCCCTTGTGACTGCACAGAGCATTTGGCACTATGGGGAAGTGTCTGTGACTGCTGTTCGTTCAGCTGTGTACCCTTTTTCCGTTTACAGCTCACAGACGGGCTTCCTAAAGACTCCACCTGTGTCAAAGAGTTCCACGTAACAGGGCCCATACCCTTTGACTTGCTCTGTGAAAACTCTGTGTTAGCCAGCTGGCGCTTTGAAGAAGTGCCAGCTCCCATGTCTTCTTTGGGTAATCCTTTGTGTTTGGTCCTTGTACCACAACCCTGGTACTCTGTCTCCTTTTTGGAAGCAGGGCTGCCCGGATGGCACACTTCCGAGAAATGTGAAGAGTCTGGACAAGAAGGTCCATCCACACAGTTGGCACTGGAAAGCAAATCCTCTGTATCACTGCTGTCATCAGTGTGGTGAAGCAATGCCTTTGTCTGGCCCACAATCTTACCCATGTACTTGGCGGACTCCCCGATAGGTTGTCCATCCTCTCCTCCTGTCTTTATATCACTCAAAAAACCATTGTTTTGTCCTTTATAATCTTCCACCATAGCAGTATGTTTAAATGTATGTCCTTTTTTCCTCTCAAAAGGGAAAGTCTTGTATCGCTTCGTGAGGTCAGGCGAGGTCTGGACACCAGTGCTCTTGGTCACGTTTGGAATAGAGCGTCTGGCAGGCATGGTCATGTACTTTCTCTGTGTCACTTTGCAGGAAATGGATCTGGAGTGTTTTCCTCGAAACTCATTCTGAGCGTCACAGATATCCTTAAAACGCACTTGTAAGGCCTTGTTTCTCTTCTTTACCTGCTGCTTGCCGGATTCTGGTCCAGACTGTGCATCAAGGCTGTGTGATGGGCCTGTCTCTGAATCTGATTCATCTGAATTTGAGAAAGTGCATTTGGTGTCTTCTTTGCTCACCATATTTTCTGAAAAAAGAGAAAAGAGAAAAGTTTGTTACTCTTTTATCTAGTTTGGAAGGAATATGATCTGTAATCATAGCAGTAATATACTACAACAAATTAGCCTTGGGACAATAATAACCAGGTAAGGTAACATATTTTAAACCTTTATCAAAGACACACTCTGTGATCCAATATCAAAATCAAGGATCCAAACTCATGACATACACATAGTGATATATGTCAAAGTTAAACCTTGGAAATCACTACACAACAAAGATAAAAATAATAATCTATAAGTAATCTGCACAATTATGCATGCATCTAAACTTGTATCTAGTCACACACATTATTAATATTATGATTTTCCCCATGATGCATTCCCATTTCAAATGTACTGTACAGTAGTTTTCATAAGCTTGCCTGCCAAAAGTCAGAGAATTTGCTTCAGGACACCTTTTTGGAATACTAATTGTGTTTGTGCTACACTCCTTGCTCCTACCGCCAACAGTCAGAAACTCTGTTCAGTGACTTATGACAGTCAATCTAAAATAATACACACCTCAAGCCTGGGACACAGCTCTGATATTACTTGTGATTACTATCTAGATGCCAGATCACTGCGTTACCTCATCAAGTGTTTGCCTGCTATCTCAACATGATTAATGTGAGTTTATGTGGTGAGATGTCTGTGTGTATGGCAATATCATTAAACTACGGGCCTGCTAAATCTGCTGGCTGCTATATTTTCTTTTAGCTATTGTTTTACAAATGCATTATGACTCATTTAGGTAGTGATTTATGTTGTTGTGAAATAGCAATGCTCATGTTTCAGTATTGAGTGTTTTGGGCTCAATTGGTTTTGTGGCTTATTTCCCCCTCGGCTCATGTTGTTTTCGGGGTTTCCTATTGGACCACCGTAGACTGCAATCTTTCTTAGGGGGTAACAGTGTACATGAGAAGTGATTTAAACACACTGTAGTCTTGCACACAGACCAATCTCTTGGCTGAATGGGAAACTCCTCTGTTGCATAAAGGAGAGTCCCATTTACATTTTATCAACACAGATCCTATTCAGCTATACATTGGGGAAACATTGCAGCTCAAACAAATGGGTTTCTGTTACAGCTCACTTTACTGTTCTTCATATCATAATTACATCTAAACGGCTGAGCTCCTGTTCTCTGCTCTGTACTGGTACACTCAGCTGCACTCATTGGCAACCTCAAGTTTCCCGTGTATCCAAACACTTATGCTCATCTCCTTGTGCGTTTAGATTGTTTGATCGTATGATCGCCACCAATATAGGAGGTGTTTTGTTAAGAAATAGCTGTGGGGCAGTTGGCCCACGAGTAAAAGGTGTTTAGTATGTAATATATTCCTCTTGTGGTCTGATGTCCCCGGCAGAGGAAATGACCACACAGCTTCTGTGGCTCACACATACTAGACTATACATTATAGCTGGTGATGGACTCCTCCACCCGTATGCACCTGTAGGCTCTGAGTCTAAACTCCCTTGGGAGAAATTTATTATCTTCACTCCCCAATCTCTGCTGTGCAGAGCGGAGTGACGAGGTCAGAGCCTAGACACCAATTATAAAGTCTGTACATACTCTGCGATTACATAATAAATCTGTTCCACGTGAGTTGGCTGACTGAACTGACCTTGGACTTTAAATGTTTACAGATTACTGATAGTTACAACTTTTTAGTAAGAGCATCTTGAGGAAAAAACTGAAATAACTTTGTAAATGAGAAACGGGAGTCTCCAAAAAGTGTTAAATCCCAACCGGCTTTGATCACATAAAGGCGCTAAAAATGACATTCATAATACAACAGCTTGCTACTGTAGTCACTCCCCATGCAGCGTTTCAAATTAAGCTCCATATGATGATCTAATGAGAAATATTGCATTTTCTGACTCACACAGTTCATAGCTTGAGCATATATCAAGCAGCATGAGGAAATGAAATGATGTCTGATATGGTTGAAAGGAAACATCAGAAAGAGCTGATTAATCATTTTCATATGACAAGACAGAATGCGATAAATAAACTCCAATGAATCATTTATTAGCACACAAAAGCAAGCTATTCATGGTGTCGCTGCTTCTCTGAAAGTAATCATGTTTTATCATTCGGAGACGTTGTAAATCCATCAATGTGATTGTTCTGGTGGGGAAATTTATACTGAAGAGACATTTCCTTACTGTCAGTTTTCACGATTGAATTAGTAGAAGGAAAAACATGTGTGGATAAGATTCATGTTAATTTGTGATCTGCAGTTGATCTACATCTGCAGCGCGTGTCGAGTTCCAGTGATGTAATGACTAAGCGTGTAAAAGTTCTTACCAAAGAACTAGTAACTCACTGTGATAAGAAGACAATACATACTTTTTAATGATGGGAAAACTGTGTTTGTTCCTTCTTTTTTGGTGTGGGTACATACAAGCATATGGGCACTTGTATGTGTGTGTATTAGTGTGTGTGTGTGTGTGTGTGTGTGCCTTGCTGTCGCCTCTTCAAAGTGAGGCATTTGCCAGCATCTTATGGAGCGTGTGCACAAACACAGACACATGCGCCTACACTCACATACACACACACACACACACACACACTGATAATAAAAAGCATGAGGTTGTATTTCTTGGGAATCCTGCCATGTGTTAGACCTTGCAGACTGTCCACTGTAACCAAACCCCTCAGCGCAAACTGTTGATGAAATGGAATATATTTAGAGGCAACTAGGTTTCATCTTGGTTCCTATTAATGCTAGAGAAAAACGGCATGCCAACAGCTTCTAGTGTCACTTCATTCACTGCAATGCTTTCAGTGCCAGATGAGAAGAAAAAAAAAAACAAGCAACCAGCTCAACCTCATTACACACGAACAATATGGTATGCTGTCATAAATTTACGTGCAGTTGTTTTGGAAATTAGAGCAGCTGGATTTTATTGGGGGTGGTATTTGTTCTGAAACATAGCTTGGTATGCACTTTGATTTTAGCGCAACTTGTTTCTCAGAAGCGGTTTTATGGATAAAAAGAAATTTGTTCAAGGCTGATTCAAATGAGATCCTTTTATTTCACACTCAGAAATACCAATCTCACACCACTGAAAAGGTAATCACATCTGCAGGAAGTCTGCTCTAAGCGAGTACAATTTCTTGTGCAGTCATGTAAGGCATGTAAAGCAGCTAAATGGTAATTCACACAAAGGGAATCAAGAAAAGCTCTTCAACGAGTTTTTGTTGGAAGTCAGATACACGCATACGGAGAGAGAGACCGACATGACACATGAATATACTCAGATGGTTGAGCGAGAATCTTCTTCGCCTCAACGTCTTCTATCTCCTCCTCCTCCTCATCTCAAAGCAAGCTATATCTCTGCTAATAACCTGAGGTCCTTCCCTGATTTGGCCTCAGCCATCCAAAGGATTATGAATAATGCATTGACTCTAAAATTGCAAAAGTAATCCTCTGAAATCTCCTTATGTACCCAGGCGGACCATGTTGTCTGTTCCAATTGCCCTTCAGTTCATCACGCTAAAATGCTGCATGGGGAAAAAAAACAAACACCTTTCACTACAGTATCATGATTGATTTTAATATGACCACAATGTTGTAGGAACGTGGTTGTTTGTAAAGAATATTAATATGGAGGTCGGGATCCATTTTCCAGGCAATAGCAGCCCTACAACACTGCTGACTCATGATTTATGCCCCATCGCAAAGCAGAGAGAAAGAGGCTGCTTTGCTTTGATCGCCTTACAGCCTTGACAGTCTGCATCAACGCAATAATTACTGAAATGCATCTGTAGGATATTTACATAGGATAACACTGTCTAGCCACTCTCATTAATGGGTAAGTAATTGGCCTCTAACATCGTAACCTCCAGTGCACCATCAATACAAACTGAGCGCATCAGGCACACGGGGTGTTCGTGATTTTAGTAACATGTGCTAAAACAAGTGTTTATCACAAGGTAAATGCTTTTATGCTGAGCTCATCACCCCCCATGCACTCCACTGTATATCATTGTTGCTGTGCAATGTATTCATTTTGTATGAGGCATTTTTTTCTTGTTATTTGCATACATTACAGAGTGTGACATTGCACCAACTAAGCACAATGCAAAGGACGAGATCGCTGCCTTTGTCCAATCCATAAGGTCGCGTGCGTGCGTAGTCATATGCGTTTGTACTGTATTGGGTCCGGCTACCACACTTCTTGCATTACTTGCAGTAATCTTTTTCTCAACAAACCATTGGGCTCCTCTTCTTACGACAATGTAAGCCCCTGTAGTCCCAGATTTTTATATTGTCTTTTGTTCAATCTTTGAAAAATAATCCCAGCCAGTTTTAAGACCTCCACAGTCACGCACACACAAAGAAACACACACATACATACACACCATCTTATTCCAGCAGTCTTTCAGAGCTCTCTGTATCCAGCCGGGCTGCCGTCTACACCTGTGAAAGTTTGCTTTATGACATTGGCTTAAAAGATGTATCAGCACTTTCTGTTATGGGGAATAGCGGGAGGTTTTAAAAGGTTCCCATCCCTCAATACACTGGATGAGAGCACTGGCTGTGAAATGGATCCTTGGGAAGAGTAAGTTTGGAGAGGCTGATATGAAGAAGGGCATTCTGGTTTTCTGTGTGATCATATGCTTTCCTGCTAGCGTGGGCCGTTTTTTGTATAAGATAATGGCGAAAACTGTCTCGAACACTTCAGAGCTTACATTTGTAATGCATCACCCTGATGAGTTCATTGATTAATGAGGGGTTGAGCTATGGGCATACATGTGTGCTCGGGTCGTTCTGATGATTGACTCTGGTGTAATGTAGGGGATGATTGATAAGTGAAAAAGACGCTGAGACAGACAAGCCAGTTTTTGTTGGCACCTTAAGGCTGTACCCTGTCTGTGTTTCCTGTAAATTCAGTAGTCAAGGAATGACATGTAGAAAAGAGAGGGACAGAGACAGAGAGAAAGGGTGGTGGGGGTGGGGCGGGGAGGCAACGACTGAGAGCAAATGTAAGTGCAGCTCTGTATGATGCAGTACCCTAGAGCTTCCCAGATCACACATGTCATTAGTCATGATAAGTCTGAATACACCTTTTATGAAATTCCGCCTTGAGAAGCACATCCCTCATCAAACATGAATTTGTCATATAGTCTACGCCACTTGATATGATAGGTGTTTTCCAATAAATGATCATCATTCCAGCAGTCGACTAGAGCACAATATACAATAGTCTATGAGTGAGCGCCCATCAATATTCTTCATTATCAAGCTCAGAAAATTCAGTACAGCAATGTCGATAATCAGCCTCTGCATCATCAGATAAATACTGCATGTCTGGCAAAGGCTGCGAAGGTGAGACACGCATTCTAATAAGTGTATAAATAAAATTTAAATTACATCACCATTCATCTTCATTTTAAACTGTAAAGGAAAACCTTGGCGTGTCTTCCTGATTTTTCATTTAACCTTTCAATGCTTGGGTGCAGAAATGCCCCCTCCCCAATGTATCCATATCTAATGCATACAAGCATCACAAACCAAAAGACTTAAACAACATTCGATCACAATTTGTGCATGCGTCCGACAGCCACTTTGATTCAATTAAGATTCTAGCAGGCAGAGCAGATGCATCTGCCACTCTTCTGGCAGTACCTTTTGAATATGTGTGCAACTCCACCAAAGGAAGCAGAACTCTTACCTTGAGAGACAGATCAGAGGTGCAAAGGACAAGAAAGCGCAGATCCCCTGTAGAGCCAGTGTTCATCCATGTATTCAGTGGGTGCCAGGGTACGGTCCAGCCACTGGAGCAGCTCTCACTGGCTGCGGGAGGACCGAGAGAGAGGCAGCCGGTGCAGTGACAGCTGGAGTAGTTGTGGCACATCCGGCAAAGATTCAGGTTATCGAGATGGGAGAGGGAAAAAAGCAGAAAGACATTGCCTCAAAACCTCATCGGGTCCTCACTGATATTCCCCTTCTGCCTTTTACTCTGCTCTCTTCTCCCTTATACACCTCATTCAAGCATCACTGACACGCATTCGCTCTTGTCCCCGCACTCACCGGGAATAGGCACTCACGCGCGCAGCGGAGATCTCCATCTCGCTGTGCTGCTGCTGTTGCTGCAATCCCTGTGCATTCGTGATTGAGTGTATGCGTGTATGTGTGTGTTAGGAAGGCAGGGAGAGGGTGGGCTGGTGGGTGGATGGGTGGGTGGGTGGATATGGCAAAGAGAGGAAGGAAGAGAGGAAGGAGGAGGAGGAGGAGAAGGAGGAGTGAGGGGTAGTTGGCAAGCTGCTGGGGAAAGTCCAGAGTCGCTGAGCTGCATCATCGGCGAAGACCCCCTTGTCCTCCAAAGGATGGCTCCAGTGACACTGAGCTGTTATATAATCTGAAGGGTTTTAGGAGACGACAGAGAGGGGGAGCTGCGAAATAATAATGCATTGTGCTTTTAATTGGATGTCTCCTGCTCCCCGTTACTTTCATACATCTGACACATTGTGTATGAGAGGTGTTGAGGGGGGCTGAATCGAGCAAAGGAAAAGAAAAGTGGCTCTGTAGGTGCACAAAGGGGGGAACAGACAAGGTGAGGAGCCAACAGGGCAGCAGTGTTAATGAAAAACTGAGACGAGAGAAAATGAAAATATGTGAGAGAGTAATATGTGAGGCAGAGAGAGCGGCCCAGAGAGAAATGTACTTCATTGGAAAACAGGGAATATTGATTAAGCAGACGTCTTAAATTAAGTTTCTTCGACGTTCATGGCTTAGCAAAATGACATATAAAGTCCTGTACACCTCTAACCGAATTCAAGAAATACATTTCTTTAGTCAAAGCAAACAACATGCAAACTTGTCATACAAGATATCAGTTGATAAAGCTATTTTTGCATAGCTAACACTGCTGAGTTAGAGTCAACGTTGTTTAGTTTGGATCTTCGCTCCTCCATGAATGGTGTTTTTTGCAGGTATTTATATATTTCTGTTAGATTTCAGTTCTGTAGCTGACCATATTTAAAGCTCCTGTGTGTAGGATTGATCATTTTCTTTCTTTGTGCTTCCTAGTGGCGGTATTCAAAAAGCCACAGCAACACTGAGAATAAATGAGCTGCACAAAGACTGTACCAACTTTTGTTGGGATTGTTACATTTTGCTACAACAACCTATGCCATCAGAATAATTTGACAGATGCTAAAATAACAAATATTCTAAACAAGTGGGCTTAAAGCTTTGTCTATTTTCAGTGAAATATATATAAAATCCCCAAATACCTACAATCCCTTTAGCTGGTGAAGAAGAGGAGTCAAACATTTAGCAAAATTAATCAGACAATATTTTTCACAGGAGTTAGTGAACTAAATGAAGAACCTGAACTTTAAGCAAAGTTGCCCCATAGTTGAAAAGCTTTAAATATTTTTCTCGACAAGCCGTATATTCTTTTGTATGCATACTTTGTGTATGAATATGTATGTATGTATGCATGTATGTACAGTATATATGTATAAGAACAAATTTAGTCTGCTTAAATAACTCAGTAATGGTATCACCACATAAAAGAGTGCACTACTACTTAAACCAAGTGACATGCAGTCGCATATGAAAGGCAAGACGCAACTATCTGCGAGCAGAGAAACTAGCGGGACGGTACATTTTATTTACCAAATAAATTAGGTAAATCAAATATTTAGTTTCTCTCTTTCAGTCAATGATAGGGGAAACACTGTTTTTTGCTAAACTGTAAAATATCCTACCCCCCTTAAATATCTTTGTCACAAGTGTTGATTGGCACATTTAAGCGAATATTGCGAAACATGTGTACACTGTACATTCTGAAGTCTTTGGTCACAAGTCCAAGTCAAGTCTCTTATGGTTGTAATGAGTATTCAATCTCCTGCTGCATGCCATGAGGCCGGCTTAGAACACTGCATAGTTATATCAAAGGGATTTCTAAATTTGATAAATTACCTTGAAAAATATCAAAATTTGTATTGAACACAAGATTTCTAAAAGTAAAAAATTGAAAAAAACATTGATGTTGTAGACTTGCAGTGGAAGGGTTTTATAACCCATGTCCACTCCCTGCTAATTGGTTTGGGATGGCACTTAATAAGGTGGACCGTCACAGGAACGAGCAAACAAAGTGGAAGTGGATACGGCCTGGATTGGAATTTGGTTCAAGAGATGTCATAAAATAACTCCACCAAAGGACCAAAGTTTTACCATTCTTTGCTCATGTACAAGCAACATGAAGCTGAAGAGGAGAAAAGCTGGTAGCGGTAGCCAGTGCAGTGATCTGCTGACTGCTGTCTTATTGATTTAATTGTCTGTTTTCCTCCCAGCCCTGCCTGCTCACAGGCCTATGACGAGCTTCTGACTGTGCCCACTGCATGCATGCCGATCCAACCTGCCACGAACCACACATCCCCTCAGTCCTAACACCAGCTTAATCTCGCTGTGCTTAATAAGTGGAACAACACAGAGTTGACAATTAGGGGAAAATCCCTCCCTCCACCACTTTCCTTAATCTCTTCTCTACAGCGCTGTTTATTGACCTGCCAAAGGCTGTGAGGGGAGTGTCCAGATTTATGCAAAAAAGCCCTCACAGCTCGCCGATAACTGTCAGCTTAACCATTCATTATGGTTGGATCCTTGAGGACAGACTGTACACGCAGAGACTGTGAAGTGGTCCTAACCGGTGAAACTGGGGAAATGTGTATTTAAATGAAGGCTTTGGAATGTGAAATGTGTGAACGGGAAAACAGCAGGTGTTGCATAAAAGATTGAAGGAGAATGTTCAGACACAAACACTATTCTATTTCTTCTGGTTGATTTCCCAATCTCTACTGAGTTCTCCAAAGTCTCAGAGGTAAGGGAAGTGTGCACTGTCAAATGCTTTCCTCAGATCCACAAAGCATCTGTACACTGTAGGTGAAAGAGAAATGGTTACATTAGCTTATTAAACAGCCAAAGAGGTAAACGTACACTTTTATCTTTTATTTAAATTATTCATGAGTATCTTCCTACTGTATGCAGCAAACACATGGGGATCGGAACAAGTAAGATCACTGCATACAAACACAAACATGCATAAACAATGGCAAACAAGGTTGCCCCACAGATCCTGATTGCACCTACTTCAAAAAACGTGAATGATATCTGGGGCCATTGGGACACCAGCACTAGAAATACGCTTTTGCTTCAAAAGGTATTGAGCACAGTGGTCAGAGCCGATGACATCACATCAGATGATGTTGCAGTTCTTAGTCACGCTAGTTGCGTGGCAAAAGCGATATTGGTCGGTTGGTAAGTTGGTCCACCATTTTGGTGCGGACTGAAACATCTCAGCAGCTATTGGATGAATTGCCTTGATGGTTTATATAAACACCCCCAGAGGATGAATCCTGAATTTGGTAATCCTCTTACCTTTCCTTGTGATGCAACCATTGAATGGATTTCAATGCAATTTGGTACAACCATCCATAGTGTATCCGAAAGACCTTGGTGATCCCCTGACTTTTCCTCTTGCACCACCAATAGGTCACTTCCCAAGTGCCCACTACTGATTAATTGGCACCAACTTTGGTACACATATGCATGCGAGATGATGTATAAAACTCTAGTGATCCACTGACTTTTACTCTAGCATACATTGTGAGCATGTTTGCATGTTGACGTTCAGCTGAAAGCACTGCTGTCCCTAAATACAGCCTCACAGAGCTGCTAGCACGGCTGTGGACTTCTAGATGATCCATTTCTACTCTACAGAGTAATCGTATTATTTGGGAATTTACATCAAATGCAGTCATGGACAGACACACATAATCCACCTCCAAACACGCACACACAAGAACTGCACGCCTTGTTGAACACAGATGGTCATTCTCCAAACTGCCATAATGTTAAATGATATTCTCCTTGTTAAGTGGATAATATTCGCTAATGCATTGACTCCTGGTCTTTTCACAAACTGCTATTCCAGTTTTATCCCAACAAAGCATTAAAAACACAGCACCATTAATCACTATTAATGGCTCTGGAAAATTGGCTTAACTATCTGTAAAAAAAAACCCACAGAGAAGCCAACGCTAATGCTGCTTAGCTCATTTCCACTACGCAACACAGGCACGTAAATGCAAAATAAATAATCAATGTTGTGTGGAATTGTTACACAACTCATCATTTCCCTGTTGGCTGCAGATGATTACTGGGTTACTGCGGTGTATAAACACAATGACAAATCAGTCATATTATACTGGTGTTTTCAAGTGTAGTGTCGGTGTCCCTTTCATCCATACCAGTGACAAAACTCAATCAGGATATAATCTAATCTATAATACAATCCAAACTATAAATAAAAATAATAATCAAGAACTTATTCTCACTGTGTCTCTGACCCCCAGTCACTCTTTGCTCTCTATGCCTCCTCCAAACAGAAATTACAGGTCTCTCTTTTTGGGGCATGCATGTGTTCGAGGAGTTTTCAGCGTAATTGGTTGTCAGTAAATCTATTTGCATATGCACTGTGTGCCCATCCCTCCCGAGACCACATTCAAACACAGCTAATCTGGCGCTGGGGATTTAGAGCTAAATGCTTTCGTTGGATCAACAAACGACAGACAAGAAAACCATTTGTTTTTTATGGCAATTGTTCTTTGTCAGTTATGACAATGTGTAAGCTTGTAAATGATTACCTCAGAGAGAGTTTGAATGTTTACACACTAGTAAAAGTTTATTTGAATATTAGACTTATACGATTGTTTTTTTGTTTTTTTAGATAATTTTGGGAGTTTTCCTGAGATATATTGGGTAGCATATGGTTAAGAAACACTTAAGCAGAGAATCAGTGTGCTTGGCATCAGCAAACTGCACATTACAAGGGTTGTCATTTGAGTCAGTGTTAGCATCCTTAAAAGGCTAAGAGTCTACAGCCATGCGTATGACTCTGTGAAGCTGTACATAAGCGCAACGGTTTTTGAGTTGAATGCTAACATCAGCATGCTAACATAGTTACAATGATAATGCTGGTAAAAAGTTTACGTTTTAGTTTAGCTTGTTAGCATATTTCCTAATTTGCACTTCAAAGAAAGTACAGCTGAGGCTGATGGCAATGTTGTTAAACAAAAAAAATGTCAACTTTATTGTGGCTCTAGAGGAAAAGTCAGGGGAGTCAGTATGATTTATTGTGTGGGAAA